GTTGATCGCACTGGTCTATCACGATTCATAACTTCAATAAAATGAATGAATATTGATTGTGGTACAATAATAGATTTTTCAAATGATAAAATTATTTTAGTATCCTCTAATTCACATCGTTCTCCAAAATAAACTTTTCGACAAATACATATAAATCGTTTCTTCGATAGCATATATTCATCCATGGGAATATATAGACCGTCATTTTGACATATCATATTGTTAAGAAGACATCGAGGACCAAATTTATAAATAGGACAAACGCATATTGATTGATCAGTAGAAGAAGAAATACCAATATCTAATGAATCAGATGAACATATTGACGAATGTTGAATTGTACAATAACGACCAGACCATCCCACATTACACTGACAAAATGTTTTGTCTTTATTATTTAAATATCTAATACATCGACCATTAATACATACATTATTTGAACAACTTTCAAAATTAATATTATCATTTGGAATATTAACGATTAATGCTAAACGATAAACAGGTAAAAATGAAAATTTACTTGGAAAAAATAAACTTCCACGATATTTTAATGAAATTTTTTCATAAATATTAATTTGTATTCCATAATTTTTTGTTTGATGTTTTGGTCGATTTGAATAAAGTAAATAAATATTATATTTAATTTTACAATCTCGTGTTGATAAGTAAGTAATTTGTTCATATGAATGAATTATTTGTTTATTATTATCATCATCAATTAATAAAATAACAATTGCAGATGGTATTTGCCATGAATTAGGTGATGCTTGAAATCGAACTGATAAACTTACTCGTTGATTTTGGTATTGACATTTGTCACCATAATAACTAGGTGGACAGAGACATGTCATTTTAGTTATATTCTTTTATTATTTAACCAAATACGTAAGTTAATACCACGATGACAATGATGTTGATGTTGATCTGATTTTGTAATTATAGGTGAACTTGAACGTACTTCATTTTCAATATGTTTTGTTTGATCTTCCAGTGATTTCTTCATTCCATCGAGAGTAAAGTGAATAATTGGTTCTTTTATATATGGCTGCATTTTCACGTTCCTCTGACAAACAAAAAGACCTGAAAGAATGTTTTTTCTTTGTTGTACAAAATTGTTCATCATCTTCATAGTAACAATCTGTATTACTGTAACATAGTTGCACATCAGGTATACATGGTTTTAAGCTTTGATTCATGCAGTAAAAGCCATGCCAATAAATGATTGCATTTTGTTTGTGACATAATGTTGGTTCATCTGTAGCACCAAGACAATCAACTTTACCATCATCTGCTTTGTTAATAGGTAAATAAATAAATTGATTTGTATCAGGTGAAACACATTTATGATGATCTAATAAATAATTTAATATTGATGATGATGGTAAATCACAATTAATTTCATCTGCACCATTAAGACAATTCCATGCACCGTTGCAGCGAGTATAAATATTATTACAAAACCAATGTTCACATTCCGTTTCATCTGTTTCATTTCGCCCATCCGTTAATATTGGTAATAATTCAGTAGATCTATCACAAATTGTTTGAAATGAAATATGTTCGCGAAAATTTTGTAATTTTATGTCTGATTCTTCTTCTGGAGGTTTAATTTCGTCTATAGAAATAGTATGATTAATTGAAGTTATATTTTCGTCATCACTATTCGGACAATCATTTATACCATTCATACGACGATGTATAGAAATACATTTTAATGAATTCGAACATTGACACATCTTCGATCTATTACAAATTATAGAATTATAATTATAAATTTCATGGTATTGCCAAAGTTTTGAATGTAAGTGTTGTAAATAAAATTGTGGTGATGGAAATACATCGGGTTGTTGAATACCACGATGACAAATTAAATTATTAAATAATACCGTTGAATAATTGTATATTTCATTTGAATTATCGATAAAAAAATTATTATAACGAGAACTATTATAACATACATAAGGAAACAGAAATTTTCGATAGTCCAACATTGTTGGTTTATATTTTTTAAAAGCAAAATAAATATCACCAAATAAAACTGGAATAGGTGGTATGAATAACATATTTGGGCAATCCTGTTTGATCATTAAAAGACATATATGATACTTACAAAAATCATTACATTTGGTAGTATAAGGATCGTTTAAATAAATAAATACGCATAAGATTGCATACCAACATTCATTAGATGTTGACTTGTCTTTGATAGAATGCATGCTATTGAATAATAATTCTTCACGGTTCATCATACAAGAATCTGTTAAAGGTGAACTCTTACATGTTACGTCTTCACATTTAAAGAATGGCATCCTTGAACTACATAGACGTGGGAGAGGACGATCCCTCTTATCTAAATCAGAAGCGTCAAGACAATTAGGAAAAAGTATATCATAGCGCAAAAACGATTTGTCTATGCATTGACCATTGGTACATCGATATTCATTATCATTACATTCATTTATTTCAAGTTGTCAACAATATTCTTCATCAAGTCCACCATCAAGACAATCAATTTGTCCATTACAAATTTCCGTCCAATCTAAACATGCTGAAGGATGACCACGATTACATTGTAAATGAATATAACAAGTAAGATCCGTTGGATTGTATGGATAAATATTATAGAAATTCTTAGTCATTTCATATAAAGATGGATAATCTGAATGATAATAATCAAGTTCATATTGACACATTGAACCAAATCTTGGTAATGTACAATTATAAAAGATCTTTTTTGATAATGGTGAATCATTTGATATTAATAATTGATTTAAATACCATTGATAATCTTCAATAATATCTATTGGTGTTGACCAAAGATATAATTGCTGACTTGCTATATTTTGTTTTGAAAGTTGTTCAAAAGTAAATTTTGGAAAATAACCGTTTTCTTCTATATTAAATTTCGATGAGAATTCATTCATACAATAAAATAATATTTCACGATAAACATATTTGTCTCCATTTAAAACATCAATACGTAAACAATCATGTTGTAATAAATCATTATTTTCATTTTCATTTGCCCAACCTGTATGATGAAGATTGATTTGAGGTTGACCGATAACCAAATGAAAAAAAATAAAATACAATAAATATTTTATACGAAACATTTAATGTGTTATATAATAACAAAAAATAATGAATGCAGTATCGATTATTTATACATGCCATTCCTGTCGCTCTTTTATAAAAGCATTTGGAGTTGTTGTTTTTAGAAAAACAATCATGAACAAACTCATTTGTTCCTGTCTGGATGATGAAATTATTAGAACAGCTAATGACGTCAAATCACCATTAGATAATGCCTTTCTCTGACGCAAATCCTGGTAAATATCTGACTTTTGATGTAAAAACTTTTAAAAATAGTTCAGGAAAAACGCCATTATATTTTTTATTGGCAGGAAAATACGTAAGCAAAATTAAATAAATCTATTATGCATCTACATTGAGAATTGTTATGAAACGTATTCAAAAAGTCCTTAAAAATTTTTATTTCTGTTAATGGATAAAGAATATTAAACTATGTTGTAGAAAAATAATTCAATTTTGTTCATTTCATTGGATATAATGTATTAATCTTTTCTATAATATCATTACTGGCTCTATTCTTAAGTGATATTTGAAGTCTAACTAGAATTGCTATTATTTATTAAATCATAACTGATCTCCTTTTCTCTATGACAATAACAACAGATATAATCATAATATTCTCTTGAAGTACGGAAATAAACAATCATTTGTAAATGTCAAATGATATAAAATTTATGGATGAATATTGTATTGTTTAGTAGATAAGCCTATGTCATTAGTATCTAGAAGAGAAAATATCATATATCTTGTAGTTGTGTATGATATTTTCTCACTTTTCTTACAACAAGATATTAGAAGAAGAATAATCATGAAGATACATGTTTTCTATTCTCTGAACGTTTGCATTGTTTTTCATCATTGTTTTATTCAGATGCAGTTCTCTTTTTGTGATGTAACGTAGTTTGATTATAACAGCCCTAAATATTTTTAGAAGCTTCCCGTTTCTATCGTCTCGTTATCTGTATACATTATATCTACATCAAATAATCCATGTCACACTTTTTTTATTATAGATACCGCTGGTTTACGACGGCTATCGAAATTTATTCGGTTTTACAGAAAACGGGTTGATACAAACTTATTCTGCAGAAAAAATAATTTTTCCTGTTATAGACATTGTTAGGATTTAAAATATATGTATAAATCAACATCAGAAATATTCTCGATCGGTGGTACATTCAAGATTTTTTGATTGGATAACCACGTTATATATGTTGTTCGGTCAACCGTTACAACTTTTTTTCTACCATAATATAACTATAGAATAAGATGAGTCAAAGATATATTGAGCGTTTTTTGTTTAACGTATTGCCTATAAGACGTTTGTTTTATGAAATGATAGTTTTGAATTATACAATACTTTGAATTCTGCGTTTGATTTGCTAATCGATTTGTTTTTCTTATAGATTTTTATATTTTTACTTTTTGTTGTCTTTATAATGAAGGATGACCCATTTAGTTTAAAATATTAAATTAAGGTAAAAAGGTTCAGCTCTATTTGTAATCGTTAAGACGTTGTCAATAACGATCATTAAAATATTTTTTAAGAGTAAAAATCAAACAATTTGTTTCATTTCGTTTTTTTTATTGTCAAAATTTAGATATTTAACAAAGGTTTTTGTTTTTGTGAAAGTGAAAATGAAAAAATATATTTATTTTATTTATAGATTTCTCTGTGAACAGATCTTATATTGTATTGGAATATAATACTCATATTTGCTCATCTTCTTTATCTTGTCTGCAATTTGTTTAGCACTGAAGGTTTCGATATTATTTTATACATTTATCTGACCGTTGTTATTTTTTTGTATCTTTGTAACTCAGTGATATGCCAGTATTTTTGTAACACGTTCATGTAAAAATGACTTGTTTACCATATTTTATGTGAAATTAATAAAAAAAAATAAATGATTATTGAAATTACGATTTTCGTATAATATTATAATCGAGAATTGTTTATACTACAAAAATAGTTAGTTATATTATTTAGTGTTGATGAATGTATTTGTTAATGAGATTAAAAATAAACTTTTAACATAAACATTCTTTGTCTTATCTTACACTTGATATGTAAAGAGAGAAAAGTCATTTTCATACGACAAAATATAAACACTATTATTAGTACGACCGGTTAAGATGATTGAAAACAAAAAAATCTCCATTGATTGTACAAATGCTTATATTATTATCGAGTCAAATTCATCTTATACATATTTTGTATGTATCCAAGGAAGTATTCCAACCATAGCCATTAGAACAAAACAAAAATATTTTTTAGATCATTAATTTGAAAGATACAAATAAGAAAATGTTTGCTATATATTAATAAATAAAACTACATATTTTTCTTTGTTTGATTTGATTAATTTTTTAAGTTTTAAATAAAATTAATAGAAAAACTATTTTTTTCTGTTATCTAGAATAGATGGAAGGCTAGAGAGAATTGTATTTTCTCTTAATAATCTGTAAATAGTTTAAGTATAATATTCGATTTCATACAATAAAACGAAGATTCAAAAATGGCAAAAAAATACATTTTATTTTGTTTATTACGAAATTATCTTTTTTTTCAAGGTATAACTCATAATAATAAATGGTAAGAAAAAGAAGAGACGTCACGTTGATACTGTAGAACGATATTTCTTTCCTTCTCTTCTGTTCTTCTTCATAACAGACTACTGAAGCATGTTTGCACATGCATATATTTTGTCGTTACTAAATCGAAGTAATGTTGTTGTTTTTCGCATCGTTTCATTCATCAGTAATATGTATCTTAAATAATGTGCGTAATATTTAAATAAAAAAAAGATTTGTCAACTAAATCATGTTATCGTTAATTAGTGAAAAAGCAATCTTCAGATGAAATAAATTATATACTTTAGTATGAATAGTTGCATTTAATAAGAATAAATTATTTTTTTATATATTTATCAGTTGAATTTGTAATAAAGAAATATTTCCTTGTCTTCAGTGTTGATTCAATCAAATGTCTTTACATATCACTAAAAATGATGAAAAAACTCAGAAACTATATTAATATACAAATGATTATGTCTAAAAAAAACTCTCTTGTCTTATTCTATTTTTCATAAGATATGTCTCCAAAAATAAGCTGCAGATAACGTTGTTAACTTGACGATCATTAAAATATGTACTTAAACAAAAAAGTCAACAACAATATCTATCGAAAGAAAAAAAAAGTTGAAATAATTAAAAGGAAATACATATTATTGGTAGTAACGTTTAACAACTATTGAATATTTTTATAAAAAGATGAATGGTTGTTGAATTGTTATTAAAATTCAGTTTATAATTTTCTTTAGTTTTCATTTCTGTTATTATCTGTTATATTAGTTTTTTCGAAAAAAAGTAGTACGGAACTGGATTCTTATAGACACTTTTTATTTATATAATGATATTTGCTGCTAATGGAAAATATTTCGATGATCGTTGAAAACCTAATAAAATCATTTTTGAATTGTCTCTGAGTATTTAAAATTGGATGTAATCGAATGACCTGACAAGTTAGAACAGTACTTGAAATGCAGTTGTCTATTCTATTCATTTGATTATAAAAATGGTCGCCAACAAAATAATATTTATCTGTTTTGCAATCACATTTTTTTACTTTTTTTTCGGTATCTGTATCTCATCACAAATATGACAGGTAGGAAAAAAATCATGCTTGAGACAAAACAAAGAAAAATCAAAATCGTATCATTAGAATGTATATATTTTTTTATTTCGAAGTAATTAATCTTGTCATTTTATTCTTTATCGATATTATAAAGATAATCGTATGCATTATATATGTGCATCAAATTGTCATATGATTATAAATTTTATTCGTAAGATTTATATGACGATAATGTTGTTTTGACGTTATTTATTTCGTTGATAAAATATTTTATATAAATATTACAGTTGCACAATGACTCAACATATATAAAAAAAAAAGGTATCCGTTAGGTAATAATCTTATTGATCAGTGCGAATAAATACTCAGACGAAAAAGTAAATAATACGCATACTGTAAATTCAAATAGGGGTAAGTATTATCTTTTTTTTATACTTTTATTCATGTTTAAAACTGAAATAAATAATGTTCGTCAAAGCATTTGAGAAAAATTAAGTATTACTATTAGTAAAGTATTAGCTTTTATTTCTATAGAAAAATAGATTTTTATCTATAACTTTTTTTGATTTTCATTTTGTTTTGGTTTCATATACCGTTTTTCCTGTTTTTTGTTGAATAGAAACTACACCTAATCATCTTCTCTAGTAATTATTAATTTTATTGGCTACGTACAAAACTATCGAAACTAAAACTGATAAGCAACATCAAATTATAACTCATAAGGTCAGAATGATCTATCAAGTGAATTTGTATGACAATCTTTGATTGAAATAAAATTATTTCTTATTACCATTTAATGAAAAAATAATTAGATTAAGAGAACAACGAGATCATTTAAAAGGATGTTAGTACAGCTTTTTAGTTTCATCAATTACTTAGGGGTACCTAAAAGTAGTTAAGTTAATCAAGTCAGTTCGAGAAAAAAGAAGTTATATATCGGCTCAAACAATTTTCTACATAGATATTCTTAATATTTATTTATGTTTCACGTTTTAATTTTATGATAAGGCTCAAACTGTTTCAAATAGTGTATCCGTTCGAGACAGTTTGAATTTTTCTCTGTTGATTAAGAAACAATTTGCAGATAAATTTTTCTGACATTTCATATTCTAAACTAAAATTATCACATCGATTGATCTATTTTTTTAGAAATTTGTTTATTCATCAAGAATTTCTGGCTTTTCTACATTAAAAGGACATAATTAATAATACAAAAGGTGATTGATAGAAAATTTGTTCTAAAAACTGCCATTTGTTAAATATAATTTTATTTTACTATAGATGAATCAAAACTGTATGGATGATGGTGCTATCAGAGTCAGGCATTCATTTACACAGCAAGATATTCAAGTCGATAATGTTCAAAATGAGAACTCAACACAA